CTTGGGGGAAATGGCTCAGTGTGGCCTCCCTGCTCCCCAGGCAAAGCAGGTAAACATATGTGTGACCTGACCTGTCTACATGGAACAAACACCGTGGCCTGAGCCTCAAGCAACACAGCATAAGGAGGAGGGGGTAATGGTCAAGCAACAAGTGGTGGTCACACAGTCAAATGACCACGTGAGGCCTTCTGCCTGGAGCAGCACAGAACTCCAGTTCTAAGATGAACCAGTTTTATTCAGCAGAGCCGCCACTGCCCAAGTTTATTTCTCTTTTCTTTCGAGTAACTATCTACTTGAAAAAACGTAAGGTTCCTGACTCTGTCATTCAGCCATTCCACGGAAGTCAATCACCCGTGGTTCCGGCTCTCAGGATGCTGCAAATTGAGCTGGGAAGCCAGCTCACACTTGAGAGGAATTTACAAAAGGTACTCAGCAAAACCCAAAGGAGAATTTGTGATGGCAGGTGTTCCTGGGGAGATGAGGGGTAGTCTGTGTGTGGGGCACTGAGACCTCAGGGACTGGGTGGGCCCTTGCTTAAGGCTCTGCAGGAAGGTGGACGGAGGTTCCTTGCCTGGCCAACAGAGTCACTAAGAACAGGGGGGACAGAGAAAGTTGTGGTCAAGGGCCCAGCCTCTCCAGCCAGACTGGCAGCTCCCAAGGGTAGTGATGGTATTTGGGGCCAGTCCCTCCACAGCCTGGCTGGTGCTCCCGGGCAGGAGCTCTCTGCCCCGTCTTGTGGGCCCTGTTTCAGTCAGCAGTACCCCAGTCACCAAGGTGGATGCCTGAGTGGCCTTCCAGACTTTTCTCTGCACCTTAATCCTTGACCTGTCAGCAAGTACTGCTAATGCTCAGAAAGCTCTCAGACCCGCTATCTCATCTACTGGTCAGGTTTCAGGAGAAGTCCGGACTTGGCCCTGTGTTCCAGATCTCGAACACACCGCATGCCGGCCCCCCCAGACCCACCCGCCACACCAATGGATCCCTCCGCAGATCCTTCTCCCAGCCTCCCGAACACTCGCCCACAGTCTTTCCAGAAAACCTGACCCTTTCCTGAGACTCCCCGCCAGGGGGTCTTTTGTCCCTCACTCCTCTGCCCCACCAAAGACACCGGGACTCCCCAACTTGTATGAGCACATGGCACAGGTTTGTTAAATAAGCAAATCCATGAGGTTTGGGGTTAATTTAAATTAACTAGGTTTCCCATCCTATTATTCCTAACTTAAATGCACCCCCCTCCCCCAAATGCTACTGGGCCAGAGCACAGCCTCAGCTGAGATGCAATCCATGCTTCTTGATGAAAGTGCTTTTGTTTATGGCCAAAAATCCAGACAGGAGGGGGAAAAAACCCGAAACCCTTTCTTGAGTCATAGTCAACTCCAGGGAGCAGTTTCCATGTTGGGGCCGGGAAAGCCGACATTTCCCTTGGCCTGTTGTTTCGGGAGGGCTGGATCTGAAGCCCCGTCCCCCATTGTTCAGCAGCCTTGGGCAAGTCACTCAGTAGCTCTGGCTGCTTCATGCCTGTGCTACCTCCCGGGGCTGCTGTGAGGACAACACAGGGGACAGCACTGCCAGGGGGTACAGAGCACAGGCAAAGGGCGCACACTGCAAATGAGATTTCATTCCTTGCTGTTTCCTCACTTGTAAATTGTGAGGCTACTGCTAATTAACACTATGACAACCATATTTCACTTCTTCCTGAATTAATAAGGGGTTAGGATTCTCCTCAGACCCCACCCAGGGAAACCCGTCCATGCTTTTCTACTGCCTTCCACCTTCCCTGGCCTCTATTTCTCCTTGAAGGAAAAAATGCAGACACTGGAATAGATCTGAATTCAGACTGAATCAACACTTACTGAAAACATCATGTGTCTGGCACGTTCACAGTTTTTATTGGACCCTCACGACACATCACTGTGGTAAAAATAGATGGCATGGGATCACCCAGTGGACACACCACACAATGGCTCACAGCACCTACAGACTAGGTGCACCAAAAAGGGGATGAAAAATGTCTTAGGGAAATACATCGTAACTGCTTTCATGGAAAGCATCAGAATGCCACTGGACTTCCTTACCCTGCATTGCACGGTTTCATACTTTGTGTGATGTTAGGAAACCCTAGTCTTCATAGCACACACCGGGGGTATAGGTCTTCATCTGGCCCAGTTGTTGCTTTTCACCTATCACAGGTGCAGCGAAGTGAGGCTCTGGGAAGGCAAATGCCTGTCACACAGCTTGGAAGTAACAGAAGGGCCTCCAGAGTGGTCTGCCGAATCTGGGCAGTTCTGGTCCCAGGATCCCACCATTATCACGAGAGCCTGCTGATTCCCAGAGTAGCAGTGGGGGGGTGGGGGGAGGCCTGCAGGCTCAGGAGTGTCCAGACCTGCACATCCCTCGGTGGCTGGCCCTCTCAGAGAGGGGTTCTTCTCCAGACCCCGGCCCAGCAACCCCTCTCCTCTGCAGCACTAAATTGCAGTGCAGGGAGCTGTCTTCCCAGAGACTCTCTAGAAGAATCCTGATTGTGTAGAGAGAATACAGCAACCTCTTGTGGGGTCCTAGAAATAAGCATACTTCCATCCTGTGCATTCCCATTTTCAAGCCCCCCAATGGGGGCACAATAAACCTCACGCCACTGCTGCTGGCCTGGCTCTCCTGTCTCCTCCCACTAAGGTCCAACATTTTCGGTAGGAATTCCTTCTGCTTCCCACCAGCAAGACTTCCTTCCTTCCACATAAGGACAGAAACATCAATATAAGATGCCTTAACTTTAATTGCCACACTTCTCTATGTCCCCTACGAGTAAAAATATGTGTTTTTGAAAGTGGAGATGTATTTTCACAGGACTTGTCCCTTCTGTCCCTCTAAGACAATTGAGAAAGGTGCAGGGGTGTCCAACCCACAGCCCATGGGCCACGTGCAGCCCAGGATGGCTGTGAATGTAGCCCAACACAAAATCGTAAGTTTATTTAAAACATCCTGAGATTTTTTTGTGATTACATGTTGCAATGCATTTAATGTGTGGCCCAGAGACACCAGAAGGTTGGGCAGCCCTGGTTCTGGGAGAGTGTCTGTGGCCAGAGAATGGAGTACCTGGATCCAAGGGACTTAAAGTTTATCTACTGGGCTCTGCAGCCCTGTTCCCCTAGAGCTTTAAAACATACGAAACCAGCAGCTTTCAAACCAGGCAAGCTTATAGTGTAAGGAGCAGAAACAGAGCATGCAAGCTAATGACAGAAATCAATTATTGCCAATGTGATCTGCCAGGGCAATCTGGCCATCAGGGCACATTCCTTTAGCTTCCCGTCAAAACAACTTTGGTTCCTGATTATTCTGTGTCATACAATCCATGTTTCTGCTCTTCAGGTGATTTAAAACCACTATTTAAAAATCTTTGTAAGAGCCCATGTAAAGCTCTTTTCTGGTTCCAGAGGCCCAGTCCATGGAAAAACCTCCAGCTCCTCAGGGATGGGAGACAAATTTTTCAAATACCCAGGGCTTCTGTTAGTTAAAAGAAAAAAAAAGCAAGAATTATTCTAAACTCTACTCAATTATAAGCATGATTAATTATTTGGGGGAACTAGACTGGTGTTTGCAACTTTAGCACACATAAAAAAATAAGATGAGCTGTTGATTAGATTTATGATAAAATACAGTAAAATGTTATACATTCTAGATGGTGTTCTATAGGTATTCGCTGTAAAATTTCTTCAACTTTTCTACATGTTCGAAACTTTTCATGGGCAGAGAGCAAGGCAGAGCTGGCTTATCTCTCCCACTTGACTCCCTGACTCTTAGGTTAGCCTTGAGGGAAGAAACAAAATACCAGTACACACTGGTCTCAGCACTGCCCTGCCTTGCCCAGCGGCATGACACAGAATACATAAAAAATTGGCATAAATGCTATACCCCGGGTTCTCCATCCTCCTCACTCCAGGATATAGGTCCTCAGCCTCAGGTGTGCCTGAGGATTATCTGGGGAGCTTACTAAATAGCGAGTTCTGGACCACATCCCATAACATCTAGGAGGCCCCAGGAACTGGCCTTTTTACCGAGGGCCTCGGTGATTCTGATGCAGAGGATCTTCGGCCCACTCTTAGAGAAACTGAAAGCTGCTTGCTCCTTACCTGACACCTGTTGAGAGGCCTCCTGGGAACATTTAGAGAAAAACAGAAACACACACACACACAACCATAAACGAGTTAAGTGCCCAAACCCAGGCTCAAATGACGCGTGAGTTCAACCAAGATCGTGGATGGCAATGAAGCTGAGCCCAAAGCCAGGCCAAGCCACTGCCTCCCAACCTGATCCAGGAGCTCGCGGCCAACAGTGGGGTCACCAAGGAGGCTCAGCAAGAACTTATTTATCGCCATGACCCTCCTCACAATCCCCTTTCCTTGAGAAAACAGCGGAAAACCGAACATGGTGTTTCCTCAGCCTGCCTTACAACAGGACGTGGGAGCTGTGATAAGCGGGACGCCGGGGCCCGCAGCCCGCCGTGGCACCGAGTCCCTCCACCCACCCAGGCCAGGCTGTCAGTGCAGCCCCGCGGGTGGCCAGCCAACCCAGCAACAGTACATGAAAACCCCGAGGCCCTCTCTGGATCGCATCAGCGTCCTGGGAGAAGGCGACGGGCACACTGCACCGACCCCACTGTCCCTTTACCTCGAGAGAACGGGCACTCAAGTCCGAGCAAAGCAAACAGTGGCCGGGGTCCAAAGGCTTAGAGGACTAGACCTTTAGCCCCGCGGGGCTTACGCGCACACCGCCCACAACCCGCCTAAAGGCCTCTGGGAGATATAGTCCATCCATGTACCCCAAACGCAATCTGCGCACCATGGGGACTACAGTGTCCACCATGCACCGCGCGAGCGCCGCGGGCGGGCTCAGTAAAGGGGGTCTGCGGTCCTAGGTCATCCCCTCCCCACGAAGGGCACGAGCGCCCAGTCCTGCTCGCGGGGAGGCTCCGGGAGAGGCCGACTGGAAGGGCCCAGGTGACTCACCGTTTCCCCGGCTCTTGCGGCAGCGCAGCAGCAGAAACTGCGACCTCCGCAGGACGTCGCGCGTCTGTCCTAGGGCAGGCAGGCTGGCTCTGGAGCAGGGCCAAGGCTTGTAGCGTCACGGGGGCGGGGCAATGAAGTCAGTGTGTGGGCGGGGCTAGGGCGACACGTGCCATGCCCTGGTGACATTAGGAGCGCTTCGCCTGCACGAGGTAAGCGGGCGGGCCTAGGGGCCCTTTATTCTAGTGAGAGAGTGACTGGAATATAGGGGAAGGAACTTATTAGCTCTCCGTGTTTCCCACGCCAGCACCAGGGCGTTAATCAGAGGAAGCGTACCTTCCTTTCTCCAGGCTGTGTCTGAGTTTAGACGCTGTACATTCTGTAGACATGCATAGAATGGAAAAGATTTTTGTCTCCTGATGTGCACTTTCCCAGCTGAGATTAATAAGGCAACACTCTTGTTGTTTCAGCTCTAATATTGGGAACAAGGGTCTTTTTTGTGTATGTTTAGTGCCACATATTTTCTCATTCTTATGCTTTTTGGTTGGTGATTTTTAAAAAGTTCCTTTTTTACTGTATTTTTTCCCCTTACCATTTATCCCCCCTTTACTCTCTTCAACCTCAACCTAACCCCACTCCTAAACCCCTCCCAGAGCTGTCAGCCTGTTCTCTGAGTCAGCCTGTCACTATTTTTTGCTTTTTAAAATGGCTCCCAAGCATAATGCTAAAGCGCTGCCTAATGTTCCTAAGTGCAAGGAGGCTGTGATGTGCCTTACAGAGAAAGTGGGTGTGTTAGATGAGCTTCCCACAGGCATGCATTACATTGAGTCCAGTGTTATTGAATCAATAAACAGTTGTCTTTAAATAGAAACACTCATTAATGTGGTTATGTATTGATCCATATGCAAGTGTGACCAAAGGCTGGCAGGAACCTTACCCTGTGTTGTCCCAGGTGCAGTGGTTCAATATTTGGTAATTCAGTGTTTGTGGCAAATTTATGGACTTTAACCACTAATAATGAGACTCAATTGCATTTGATATTTGATTCGATTGACATTTTAAAGAATCATTCTGATTGCTATGGAAAGTATGGTTTATACCAAGAGAAGCAATTAGGAAGCTGGGAGACCAATACAGATGTAATTCAATTTTTCTACTCTCCACGTTTAAAAAAGTAAAAAGAAACAGGTGAGTTAAATTTGAATTAAATTTAAGTAATATGTTAACCCAATATATGTAAAATACTTTTTAAATATTTAATCATATAAAAATCATCAGAGATATTTTACATTCTTTTTCCACATGAACTCTTTGAAGTCCAGTATGTTTTTAATGCAGCATGTCCCATTAGCCACATGTGGCTCGTGGCTACCATACTGGACAGTGCAGATACAGATCATACATTACTTTGCTCATTCAACCAAGCAAGGTCTTGTTCTGGAAATATACAGAATGGAATAAATCCCAATCTCTGTTCTCAAAGTACACACAGGCCAGCTAAGGAGTCTGATACAAGACCTTGTGCTGAAGACTTCAAACCAAAGTGCTTTGAAAGGTTGAGTAGGGAGTACCCATAGGAAGGAGGCTTCAGAGAGAAGAGGGACATTGAAGTTGGGACTTTAAGGATGTGTAAGAGCTCTGTGGGGAAGGGCACTCCAGGCAGTGAGAACTGGTTATGAAAGTTCAAGAGAAATGACACGCAGTGTCTCTGGAGAATTGCAAACAGTTCTTTGTGGTGGGATTGTAGAGTGTGACATGGGAGGATAGAAGGTGGGGAAAGATGAAGGTCTTACAGATCAGTCTATGGAAGGTGGAATTTATCCTGTTTAGTAGTGACGGGGAACGTTGAGACTTTTAATCTGAGTGATACGACCAGATCTGTGTTTTAAGCAGACTATTCAGGCAGTTTGAAAAGTGTAGGAATAGGAGGTGGGAAGACCCATCAAAGAAGGGAAGGGACTCTGCAATAGATACAAGAAAGACACTAGAGACTGAGAAGAGGGAAGGCAGAGTGGTCCACAGTGTCCTATGTAGGAGGGTCAAGTAGAACAAGACATGCAGACCTTACCACCCTAAAAGCCGAGGGTAAATCCGAGTAAAAATTAGCTGACCCTCCAGAGTCCACCAAAAAGCAGAGGGTTTGGGAGCCAGTGAGAACCTAAAGTTTACTGAGAAGGAACTGGGTTCAGGTCTTGGGCCACATCGCTGTACGGCCTTGTTCAAAAATACTTAAATTTTCTAACCCCAAAATGAGGATAAAGATAATGCCAGCTTCATAGGGCTGTTGCAAGGATGGAATGGCTTCCTGCAGTTATGTCACTTTACACGGTGATTGGCATGTGCTGGCACTCCATGCAAATGGTAGCTTTATGGTTCCCTCACACACACACAAAACAGAGCTGCCGTCTCCCACTTGCTGTTAATAGGAATCAAAGAATAAATGAGATAGGTGAATTATATTTGCACTTAAAGCTAAAGGCAAATGTTTCTTAAGAGGTCAAGCATTCCTCACCCTGAACTCTCCTTCTAGGAATATACCCAAGAGAATGAAAACATGTACACATGAAAACCTGTAGCCAGATGTCGGCAGCATTTGTTCACACTCACCAACGCCAAAAAGTGGAAACAATTCATTGGCTGTGATCTGTCCATACTCTGACATATTACTCAGCCATAAGAAGGAATGAAGCTCAGACACACACTACAATGTGGGTGAACCTTGGAAATGTGACGCTTAGTGAAAGAAGCCAGGCACATAAGACCACGCACGTATCGTATAATTGTATTGATATGAAATGTTCAGAATAGACAGACCTACAGAGACAGAAAGATGAGTCACTGCCTAGGACTGGGGCAAATGGCGGGGGGGGACGGTGACTGCTAATGAGTAAGGGGTTTTCTTTTAGGGGTGATGAAAATGTTCTAAAATAGATTGTCATGATGTTGGCACAACTCTGTGAATATTAAAAGCCTTGAACTATACACTTAAATGGGTAAATGTGAATTATACCTTAAGCAGTTGCCAAAAATATAAAAATAGGGAGAGACTATAGCATAAGCAACTTGGAAGAGTTCAGACAGATAATGAAGCAACAGATTTAAGGCAGGCATCTCTGTGCAGAGCTGGGTTGGTCTGATCTGTCTTGTTTGCTGTGAGAAGGTTCACGGGGCATGTGGAGACCAGGAGCCCACGACTGTGCCGGGAGGTGTCATTGGCAGTCTTGCAGTGCAGCTGCTTGTTTCACCTCTTCCTGGGGAATGTTGGCTTTCGGCAGACACCTGCCCTCCGCATGAACATGCACACACAGCTCCTTCCATGTCACCTGCTCCTTCCTGGCCTCCATGACTCACACCTGTGCTACAGAGCCAGCTGCCCTTTATTTTTAGTACAGATTTTACCATAACTGGAGCAGCTGCAGCACTTTTGACCCAGCATGCCTTCAGTGACAGGTTTCTTTGTACCTGGTGGCCCCTGCCACCAGTGCATTCTTATGCTTCAGGATGAACGCTGGTTGCCTTCAATGGGGCCCGCCCATGGGGTTCCTGATAGCTGTTTGCCTCCCAGATTGTGCTGAAAACAGCCCAAAGATGGGGAAAGAGGGCCCTCTTCCATCTTCTCTGCAACCAGTGCCATCTGCTGGCAAAAGGATGGCGCGAGAGACACGATGAATTCTTCTGTCTGCCTTCCCTATTTGGTGCCTGCATTACAGAGTGCTGGGGTTAACATTTATCCCTCTAGTTTAGTTCTCTTAGGCTAGAGTTAAAATTAGGCCTTATTCCTACATTGAAACCTATAAGGAAAAGGGCATGTATTTCAAGTATTGAGCTTGATGCATTTTCACAAACCTCACTTGTTAGTACAACCAGCACCAGGTTAACAAGATAGAGTGTGACCACCCCCCACCCCCACCCAAGCAGCCTCCTCTGTACCCCTCCCACTCACTGTCCTCCCACAAGGAGTCACCTGACCTGCTACTAAGAGTAGATTTTTTCCCCCCTGTTTTTGTATCTTCTGTTACAAGTTGGAGCCAGTTGGAGCATATGGTGTGCAGCTTTTGTAATGCAACACTGGAGGTGACTAAAGGGGCTCTGTCCTTTGGAGCAGAGCCTGAACATCATGAAGGGTACCTGTCTCCTCCCATAATCCTCTGCCTCCTCCTCAGCCCCCTCCTTTTATCAAGCTGATTTATCATTGGCTTGAAAGCCTCAAATGAAATCATGTAACCATTTTGGAAGTTGCAGTTAACATCCCTGAGCACTTTTTGCTAGGCTCCAGTATAAGCAGTTTAGACACATACCTCTCTTGATTCCCACTAGGAGCCTATGCACTTTACGTAGTAAAGCTTAATGGAAGGTGTAGCATGCATAGAGTTGCAAAGTCAGTGACTGGTAGACCCTTACTCTTGTGATCCTAGAGGGAGGGTCTCTCACTACCCAAGCTGCTTACCAAAGCCAGTAAGAGCCAGCACACACACGAGGTGAAAGGGGAAGCTCTCATGCTCAGGCCGTTCTCTACAAAAATCTGTCTTTATGCCCAGCACAGAACAGGAAGGAAACCCACACCCCTGTGGAATCCACGTGGTTGGGTCACTGATTTGTTTGGATTGTTGCAAATTCCCAAACTGTTGATACAGAAAAGCACACTTATCAGAAGTGAACAACAGGATGCAGTTTCACTAAATGAACATGGCAGATTGCCCATTCATTCATTCATTCATTCATTCCCAGCAGCTCATGCCGCCTTCCAATCATGAGGCCAACCCAGAGTCCCCACGCTCCTGACTTCTAACAATAAAGGTTAGCTTTCTCCATTTTTGTACTTTTTATAAAAATGGATTCATACAGGATGAGTTCTTTTCAAAATGGCTTCTTTTGCTCAGTTTTAGATCTATGAAAGTCACCCATGTTGTGACACACGGTTGTCAGTATTCACTCTCATTGCAGTATGTTGATCCATTATGTGGCTATATCACAGTTTGTCTGTTTTACTGTTCATGGGCATCTGAGTAATTCCCACATGGGAACTTTTGGCCATTATGAATTGCTGTCACAGGCATCCTAGTTCATGGTGTGAGCATATTTCTGTTGGGTGCCCATCAAGGAGTGGAATGGCTGGGTTGTAGCACGTGCCTATGTT